TGTGTGTGTGTGTGTGTGTGTGTGTGTGTGTGTGTGTGTGTGTGTGTGTGTGTGTGTGTGTCATTCCCTTCTGCCGGGTCAAATCTGTAATAAGCTTGCAGCAGGATGCTCCATCCTTCCACAAGACACAAACACACACAATCTGCAGCAGTTTCACACATGCACACGACTTATCTCAAAATCAGTTCAGAAAACAACACATCTGTGAGAGCAGATTTATCTTATCAGTCCTTTTATATTGAAATTAGGATGCTGTGTAAAAACCACTTAAACAATCAGAAAGCAGCAATCTGCAAATTTCAAACCAATATTTTATTCACAACGGAGCATATGAAGGAGATTTTACCATTTCATGAAAAATATGGAATCACTAAATATGTCTCCAAACATTGGGGTGAGGGTGAGGGGGCATTAAAGGTATCATTTAGTTTTCCAAGTTAGTGGCATTAGAAGGAAAAACAGGAGGAATATTTTCCAACTAATTAGGTTCATTGGCAACAGGTCAATAATATACTTGGGAATAAAAGACGGGCAGAGGTTAGTATTTCGAAATAATCTTCTTCAATGTAAAATTACAAGGACTTGAGTATTTCATCATTTACAGCAGCGGTCCCCAACCCCCGGGCCTCGGACCGGTACCGGTCCGTGAGTCGTTTGGTACCGGGCCGCGAGAGTTGAGGCTCAGGTGTGAAATGTATGGTTTTCAGGGTTTTTATCGGTTTTCGGTGTTATTTTGTTATCGTTTTTATCGTTAACTCTGTCTTCCTGGGTCTTTTCACGTGTGTTATGAATCAATCTTCTTTTTTCAGACAAGAATGGGACAACAGCTGGTCTCCTCAGTTCCCAGATGTTTACAGACTGTTGAGGTTGCTACACAATGAAAACAAGTAAACATGGTCCCGTCCCAACTTTTTTCCAAAATGAGCTAATATTTTTCATGAAATAGAAAATGGTCACAGTTTAAACATCTGCTATGTTTTATATGTTCTACTGAGAAAAAAAATATGGGGTTATGAGATTTGCAAATAAATGCATTCTGTTTTTGTTTACATTTTACGCATCGTCACAACTTTTCCAAAATTGGATTTGTATCCCATGGAGGCCATACTACTCACACATTTAAGAAAAAAAATTACTCAAGTTCCAATAAATACACAGAACATTCACTTATATTAAACCATGGAAGCACAAAGGATAAGACAAGGTGAATACTAGTAAGGGAAAGAAGATACACATGTGGGAGTGTTGGTGCTAGGCTGTGTACATACCCCAAGATGCCCTTGCCTGCCCGCGGAGGGCTGGGTGGTTTTTGTGTGGGAGGGTTGGACCGAGACAGACCCGCTCCAAGTTTCATGTTCGGCTGACCATTCACCTGTGAGAACAAACCGTGTTAATGCTCAGCGCTCAGCTCAGGCCTTTCACAGAGCCAACATATCAGTAGCTAGCCAAAACAACATCACCCCCGTGTAGCTCACCCCATTCTGCTGAAACAGCTTTAAAACATCAGGTCCTAGAGTCCACCTCTACCGTGTCCTATGATACTGGGTAGAATGATTTATAAGTCCTTTAAGACCATCAGGACTCATTCGAACATGTTCCAACACTAGCTGTCACTTCACGGTTGGACAGCAGGCAGGCTGTGCACTAAATAATACATTTATGAAAGGCACAGAACTCATTAACCAGGCTGCTATGACTTTTATATGAGAACTTATTAAGCATTCAATAGATTTTTATGATCAGGTGAAAATTGGCATGAAGAAAGGGGGCTGAGTGTAAAGAGACAGAGGGAGGAAGAGGAAGCTGATTCTAGCATATTTTGCTGCTTGGTTTGTTGATCACTGCAGTAATAGCACAGTAGTCACTTTCTTAGATCATTACTGCATTTATTGCTTTTCTAACGGCATTTTCCACATTACACAATTTCCTTCATTTATCACACACACTTCTAATCTGTGTAGGTGTTTTGTGCATCCTTACCTTGAACCTCAGCAACCACTTAATATGCCAATGACAGCAAATAGAAGAGAAAAGAAGAGACAGGGTAGTCTAAAGGTTAGTTACAGTGCAACCGTGCCATGCGAATACCAGCAGCCATTAGAGACAAAGGGCAGAAATACAGATGAAGAAGAGCTGGTGGACAGAAAAGTGAGGAGGAGGAGTGCAGTTAAAGAAATAATGGTGAAAGCACAATGCCTAGATAATTATTGCTACTTATCCTAAATAAAAACTATTTATTTACAAGTGCACACTCTACATGCTTAGAGAAAAACCGTGGCTCACTCAGTTATATACATAAACATGCAATTTCTATCCAATTCTTTTTAAAGAGATTTTTAAAAATGGATTTCTTATTAATAGATATGCAAGCCTGGTACAGAGATATTCATTCAAGAGTTTACTAATGCTTGCAATACATAAAAAAAGAAGAGTAAACTAGAAAAGGTGGTACATGCACACGCTTGAGTGCATGGATGAGAATCTGTGTAATCATTTATAAACACTTGAATATGCGAGTTCATATAAACGGATGTTATTATATTCCCTCCTCATTACTCTGCCTACCTTGACTCCATGGCCAATGTCATCCAGGACGCTGTAGTCGATGGGCTTCCTGATGTAGCGCACTGGCCTCTCTGGATTGGCTGGAGCTACAATTTTATGAGCGCGAGACGTGTTTTTATTGGTGGTCAGGATGCCGATCTCCCGCCTCGCTACCTTCTCCTTGTGAATGTCAACGGTCTGGAAGAAGAAAAATAAAGGACGAGCAAATTAAGAGAGAAAAAAAAAAAAAAATCACAAAAAATAGCACTCATTTTAATGTGTCAGTGCTCCAAACTGAAAAGTGGAATATAAATGAATTGCTCCGGTGTGGACGCAGCTTAAGCTAGTAGCACCAACATAAATGCAATACCAGTGAGTTTAGCTGAGGTTGATGAGAAGGAAAGGTTAGAAGAAACTTTTTGACCTCTGACCTTGAAGGAGAGGTCAGAGGTCAAATGTGACATATTTTAAATTTTTTATACGACACTTTCTATACGTTGACAACACACAAGACACTTGTAAGACTTCTAAGTTCTAAGGCTTTTTGTCCATTTTTGACCAATAAACCTTAAGCTGACCTTCAAGACCTTGGTGGATATGAGAAAAACTTATAATAATACAATTATACAATATTACAATGAGTGTACTCTACACACCTACAAAGTTCTATCAGTATTCATTCAAAGCTTTTCCAGCTATCATGTTTATAAAGGGAATAAAAAGCATGGATCCAGCGTTTTACCAAATACAAAACCTCCTTGGCAGAGGTAACAATCACAATCAATCACGTTTAAATGGGAGCTTTGAAAAAAATAACTCAGGATTAAAACTTTGACATTAACATTTTTCTCTGCTAAATTAAGCTTCTTGTTTAATTAAGATGTTGATGCATGATGAGCGTCATTCTTAAGCAAGTGCAAACTTCATGTAGCATATTTCCCCTTGTTGAGTGAGGGACATACTCATTACATGTTTTAGTCTAGAACAGAAACCTGCACACTCCTGTGTGTATTAGAAGTGCACCACAGTGATGGTGTCCTGAATCGCTTTGGTCCTGGATGTTCCTTTCACTTCAAAATTATTACTGGAAACACTGATCATACGCTGCTCGCTCTAGTGCTCCATTAATCACAGCCTTCCAACAGCGTGCAGCGCGTGTCTTTATTTTAATCCCTCAGAAGGCTGCAATGTATTTCGCAAACAATAATTCTTATTGTTTTAAACAGCTGCTGCATGGCCACTGGGTCCCATGTGTGGTCCAAGTGAAGTTGAATTATATGAGCTGCATGCAGCCAGTAAGAGAAATAAACAGACACCGAGTTCACAGTGTCCTTGCAGATCAGCCCGAGCAGCTTCTGACCAAACAGTGAAGTTAATGCTCACATGACAGGTTTATGGCATCGCCTCTCTGACACACACACAGAAGAAACACTGCAGCGCCACAGCCGAGACAGAGAACCCAAGTGGTTAAAGGAAAGTGTTTTTCTAGATATGACAACAGCTGTCAAAACTTTGGCAGGTGGAGAGCCATGAAGAAACCTGTTAAAAGAAGTTGAAGAGAAGTGCTCCTGTGTACCACCTGGTTGTTTTAAGCACAGACTGTGCAATGGAATAAAGAACAAGCTAACATGAGAGCTGTCTGTGTGTAGATAAAATGATTGTTTAATTTTTAAACATGAAGTTTTGAAACTTTGCTGCAGGCTGACAGCAGCTGCCTCCTCTCTCCAGAACAATGACACTTACAGCCTGGAGGGGGATACTTAAAGAGAGAAATGCCATTTATTCCACTACACTACTAAACTTATCCTAATTATTTTGCAGATTTAGACTCATAATACAAACTCAAATTGTCATGCTGCATGCGAAAACCAGGCTAAAGCCCAACATTCTTATTTTTTTAATTTGTTTTGGAAAAGGTGATAAATAACAATATGTGTTATTGCAATACTCAGCATATCGCAAAATGCTAAAAATCCACACAATCGCATTGTGAGTGAAGTATTGTGTGTGTGGGGTGTTGGGTAAGTCCCACCTCTTGTCAAGAGGTTTGTTGGTTTATTTATTTGCAGTTATAGTCCAACCAGGTTAATCTACATTGTGGTGACAGCTTTGAGAGTCATCTGCACACTGTGAAGTTGAGATAATTGTTTGGCTCAGTCTGCATTTCTCGATGGCTTTTCCCAGGCTAAGTAGAAGTCTACTAATAAATTATGCTGTATTATGACAGATTACACTCTCCAGCAGTATATTATGTAGTAGCCAGTTTTTTCAAAGGTCAGTAAAAGTGTATTTGATTGTTTTAGAGCAGAGATGAGGAACTTCCACGCCAATCAAAACAGAGCCTCCGGCCTGCGCTACGAGCACGCCGGGACATCTCTGCCTCACCTTCCACGACTCCTATCGGCCGCTGCAGCATGCAAATGCAAAATGGATTTTTTAAAGATCATCTCAGTGCAATTCCTCACCGCATGAAGCGTTCGCCTACACAACAGATGTGACTGTGTCTCACAGAACAGAAAGCGGCAATTATGACGTGCGACCACAGCCTGGCCCGATATAACAGGGACAGAAGCATCTCATTATTTCTGCTTACAGAGCATTCCGATTATACTAATTATTCGGAGGTCCGACGAGGAGAATGGAGCCCCTGTAACCACTGAAAACTACGATTATTCCTCAAAGCACACAGTTGCTCTGTGAAGAGACTGTTGAGGATTTAAACACTCAGTGAATGAAAATAGCTCTTTTCTCAATAGAGTGCACTGAGCGACGTGTCAGCTCAGAGTTTTTCTAGGAACAGGAATAAGTTGGACACAGCTGCAGTGTGAGATGTGTGGGTGCAGAGTGTTGTGTAAGCCTGATCGGATCCCTGGCAGCACCACACACTTTCACTTCACTGTTGGGTGCAATCACACTTACAGGTGGTTTTATTCATCCAAGCAGCTGACAGAAACAAAATTAGAGCTCTGTGTTCTTTGTCCTCCAACAGTTAGGACATAGTGATTACTGTTCATTTACTATAGCATCCAATATTACTGTAAGTCATGTAAACAAGATTAAAAGAACCCCTGCAGAAGAAACAGGAACACTGGTATCACATTTTAGAGTCTTCGTGGATTTGACGGTGATCGTACACAGAATTACGTTTGCATAGAGTATTAACCTGGTTCGAAAACACCCCGTCTCCATGATTCCAACATTACCCATTAACATTTAAGGGTATAAGTGTTTTTCACTTCACAGACAGAGCCGAACAGTGCACAGTGGCCTTTTAACGCTTCTCTGAAAACAGCTCCCTGCTGCTGCTGAAAAAGATGTTCTTATGCCGATAGAGTGAAACAAACGCGGTTTGAAGTTGTAGTCAGACAGCCAAACCCTGAGCTGAAGCTCATTATAAAACTCAGAGTAAAGAGGAGCCACACACTTTCTCTACAGAGACACCATAAACATTGTGTCTATGTTTTCATTGCATACACCATCATAAAAAATACTGATTTAAAGATTGTTTGATGCTTTAACCCTGAACCCTACAAAAAACATTACCAATCAAAGCCTGTTTATCTTAGTATAGTGTGTACAGAAAAAAAAAAGGGCTAGTTTCTCCACCATCGCCACTTTCTGCTAATAATTTGACCTCTTTTCACTATGTTACTGCTGAACATTCTGCATTTTTGTAAACACAAACTCCTCCTGGGCTGCTGCACATAAATGCATTCATACATGATTGCATGTTCTGTTCTTTCATTTAGGAGCCCTCTTGCGGGTGTGTATAATTTTATGTATTGTGTGTACCAGTGTATTTGTATATGGGCCTTCCTGCTCACAAACTTCATATTTTAGATCATGTTTACAGTTTGAAACCTTCAGCGTGCCTCTGGACGCCTGACTTGGATAACAAAGGCAGTGCGAGGAGGAATTTTCATTAAACGTCATCCCTCACACGTACAAAGCGGCTGTTTAATCCTCTAAGAAGAAATGAGAACATTCAAAGTTCAGCGGACCTGTGAAATGTGGTTGACGGAGCTCTCCATGCGGCGGAGTTGTGAGGCCTGGATGTCCAGCATCTGCAGCACATTGTTGGCCAGCGTGTTGATGAGGTAGGCGACGCTGGCCAGAGACTGTGTGGTGTAGCTCTTTGTTTCCTCCAGCGCCCGCTCCTTGTCTGCAGACTGCGGGGAGAGAGGAGACAGATTCAGGACAGGAGTCACAGAGTGCAACCATTTTACTCACAGGCACAGACAGAAAAATGAAGCTTGGAAATGAGAAATATCACACGAACGTGGGGCTGATAAAACGGATGAGGATTTTTCAGACTAGAAATGTTCTATTACATGCCTTGCTTGCCCAGTCATGCTCAGGTGGACCTCGTTTGGCTAACTCCCTACTTAGTATGAATTTATGACGTGAATAATTGTAGTTGATCTGTGAAGCCTAGTTTGCAGCAAATCAATGAAATACCACAAAAATAGTGAGAAATGTCAAAACTAGTCCTCACAGTAACAGACATACACATGAATAAAACCCTTATGATTTCTGCTGGAATGTCACAGTCAGCATTTTATCGAGAGAAGCTGGCAGAATGTGTGTGTGTTTGCATGACTGCATGTGTCAGCGTGCATCAGCAACTACATGTGCGAGTTCACATGTGTACTGTATGTATAAAGAGAGTGTGTGCATGTTTGTAAATCTCTGTGAGGACCAACATGTGATTTATAACTTAGGATCGAGGACATATGTGGGAAGTGAGGTCATTTTGGCTGTTCCTCACTTTTAAAATACGCCCTCCAACTGATCGGGGGATTTATAATTTATGTTATATAAAGGTCAGTGTTGAGCTGAGGGGCAAGGGAATTATGGTCCCCACGACTACAGAAAGCCCAACATGTGTGTGTATAATTGCTGAAACACAATGTAGGTCAGTGCAAACTCATTCACGCCCGAGGTTGACAAGAAACACACTGACATCTATGTGTGCCTCTGTGTTACACACGTACTCTCACACACACACAGACTACACACTTATAGAGACTTGAAATATATTATCAATAGACAACACCAACGCAAACACACACAAAGAGTTTGTGTCATAGGTTTAGATGACCCAGAGCCCTACATTCAGTCGCAGAGTCTAAACCATTAAAACTTCTTCAGTGACATAATTAAAGAAAACACTGAGAAGTGGTGTCACGAACCTCAAAGCAAACCAGCAAGTGCTTCACCAAGTCAGAGACACAATGCTGCATTTGAAGTCGCTATTGTTACAGCGTAAAAACAAAAACCGCACGCCGACGTCATAATAAACTATGTGTGAGAGCAGAGCAAAAAGAAAAGAGAACAGCAGGTGTTACAGAGGCTCAAGCGGTGACCTCTGCCCTCAGCGAGCTGTGCAGCACTTTCCAGCCGTTTTAGGTGACGCCTGCTGTGACGGCTCAGCTCAGTGTTTTAACACTTCGAAGAGCACAGTGAGATTTTATTTTCATATTTTACATTCCAAATGGGTAGACAGAGAACTTGCAGCAAGTTCTATTTTTTCAACTTTATATTTTTGTCACAGCGAGGGCTCGAATTCTCTGCCGTCTGCCTTATTAATGCTTCATGTGCTGATTCTAGGAATCTGGCAGTCTACTTGATTTATGAGACATAACATTTCTACATAAAGGTTGTGGACATCCCAGTGTAGTGTAATGGTGATCTTGTTTAGTGTTATCTGCTTAAATCAGGTCAGAATACACAGTGTAACAGTAACTGATTATCAGCAGTATGTCGAGGCTGCAGATGTCTGCACACTAAATTTATCACTGCTCCTCATTTCATCCATCACTCCATCCATGCATTTTCAATTGCTTATCCAGATCCAGATCCAGA